CCCGACGCCTTGCCCGCCTGTGATGCCGCACCGCCCGCCGCCGCCGCCGCGGCCTCGTCGGCGTTGGCGTCCTTGGGCTGCACAATCGGCAGCGCCTTGGACTGGATGTTGGTCAGCACGTCGTGCATGCGCGTGCCGTTGCGCAGGAACCAGTCGCCGTAGCGCCGGCCGACGCGCGACTCGGCAATGTGCACCATGTTCTGTCGTCGGGCGAGGCAAGAGGAGGAGGCGGAAGTGGAGGGAGAGGAGGCACTCCGAATCAGCGAACCGCGTCCTCAAGCCTTCTCTCCACCTCTCCGACGGGCGACCGCGCCCACACAAAACTCACCGTGTCAATGACAAAGTCGAGGTCGCTGGTGTTGACCACCTCGCCCTCGAGCAGGCCGCCCTGGCTCCACTTGATGCTCCTCGTGCTGCTCTTGACGACCATCATCATCTCGACGAGCTCCTCCTCATCAATCTCGAGGAAGCTGGCCAGCTTGTCGGTTCCAAGCGTCGTGTAGAGGCGGAGGAAGGAGCGGATGTTGGAATTGGACAGCTGCGTCTTGACGTCGCCCAGGAAGACCTTGAGCTGGTGCTGCGCCGGGTCCGGGAAGGGCACCTCGCGGAAGACGGCGAGCGCCTCGTCGTCGTGGTACGGCGGCGCGTTGCCCGTGATAAACTTGGGGCACGCGTACAGGAAGAGCTCCTCGAACGCCGAAAGGCCCTCGTCGCCGCCCTTGGTCATCTTGGCGTACTGGTCGCCGTACTTTTCGCGCATCGCCGTCTGGATGTTTTCGTCGAGGCGCGTCGGGCACAGGGCGCAGCACATGGCGAGCAGCGCGTACATCCGGTCGGCCGTCTTGTTGATCTGGTCGTACTGGTAGCTCCTCGTGTGGTACTGGCGCAGCCGCATGATAAAGACGAGGATGTGGGTAAAGGCCTTGATGGCGTCCGGGTAGCGGCGCAGCATCATGTAGGCGAAGCCGACGTAGTAGTAGGCCGTCACGTGGCACGCCGTGACGCGGTTGATGAGGCCCGACTTCTTGTTGAGCTCAATGTGGTCGAGCATCTTGAGCGCCAGCGTGTAGTCGCCGAGGAGGACGTGGACGCGCAGCAGGCCGATGATGCTAAAGTACCCCAGCATGCGGTAGAGGGGCTTGCTGCCAAACTCGCCCGCCACCTCGTCCGGGTCCTGGCCCTCCTTTGCGGCGATGAGCTGCTCGGTGATGCGCGACTTCTGCATGAGCGAGTAGAGGACGTTGAGCACGCTGTAGCTGCTCCACACGCCGCCGTCCTGGAGGAGCGCCACCTCGTCGTCGGTCTTGTTCGAGACGCGGTTGCGCCACTGCGAGTAGCTCTGGAACTGGTAGATGAACTCGTCGACAATGTCCCACAGCCACTGGGCGGGCAGCTCGAGCTGGACGGGGCCCTCGGAGTTGAGGACGTAGTTGAAAAAGTCGCAGTAGTTGTCGTACGAGTGGAAGCGGTCCTCGCCGTCGGGCGAGAGGCGCGAGTAGACGTGGCGGTACCACAGCTCGCGGTAGAGGGTGAGGAACTTCTGGTCGTCGTTGACGAGCGGCGCAATGACCTCGGCCTCGGGCCACTCGCTCTTGGAGAAGAACTTGTCGGTCAGGCGATTCCAGGTGCCCTCGTAGGCGTTGGTGATGTCCTGGACGTTGTTGTTCTGGATCGACTGGTTGAAGAGGACAATGTACTTGCGCACCTGGTCGGGCACGGCGGCGAGGGCGGCGGCGGCCTGCTGCTGCTGCTGCTGCTGGGCCTGGGCCAGAGCGGCCTGCTGGACCTGGTCGGCGTCGACAAAGCCCTCCTCGCCCTGCTGGGCGGCCTCGCCGCTGAAGCCCTGGTCGTAGTCGCCGACGACGAGGTCGACGTCCTCGCCGAGCTCCTCCTCGTCGCCGAGCTCCTCTTCACCGCCAAAGAACTGCCTCTGCTGCTGCTGCTGGGCAGCCTGCTGGGCCTGCTGCTGCGAAAAGTCGGCCATGATGGGTTCGAGAAAAGAGGCGGACAGGGAGTGCCGCCGTAGGTGTGTGCTGTCCTGTCGTTGTCTGGTCGGTCAGAAAGAGACTGCTGCCCAGGCTTGCGTCTCTGTTGCGCAAGGGCCGAGTCGGTTGTCGGAGCAAGAGGGTCGAAGAGCGAGTGTCAGTCTGCTGGTCGAAAGTCAGTCAGAGTTTGTCGTATCCTTCGTCGTCGTCGTCTTCGTAGCGCGCGCCGGTGAAGTCAACGAAAAGAAGAGGGAAAGAGGGAGGTCGGAGGGTGATGGTGATGCCGGCGAAAAAGGGTGAAGGGGCTTCGAAGGAAGACGGTGTCCAGGCCGTTTGCTGCCGTGCGCGTGCCCTGCCTTCGATGGCTTCCTGGCGAGCGAGAAGGCAGACGTGCGGGCAAGCGGGCAGGCGGCTGGGCGGGCTGGTGGCCGGACTGGCTGGCTGGCAGGGTTTGGGGGGGGGGGCCGCCGCGAAAAAACTCGCAGTCCGGCCAGCCAGACAAGGCGGCCAGCCACAGGCAGGCCAGCCGAGCCCGAACGAGCGAGGCACGGGTGATCGTCTTTCGCCCGCACGAAGAAACGGCCTTGCCTCGCTGCCGTCGCCGCTGCACCACCGCAGCAAGCATCGACATCCGCTTGCCCGATTTCGATTCGCAGAAGCCTAGATCGGCACGATCGGGCTCCCTCTTCGACCCTCCTCCGCCATCCTCTCCCTCTCTCTCTCGCTCTGCTTTGCTGTCACAGAGGTCCTCGCCACCACAGCCAGGCCCCAAATTAATGCGTCGGGCCTACAACAGCGTAGCAGAGCATGACTGATTGCAAAAGAGATCGAGGTAGGGTATAGAAATGAAAAGGGCAGAAGCGTCATAAGGGCAACGTCGCTGCAATGAGCGGCGAGACCGGCGTGCTGAAGCGGTTTAGCAAGGGATCGATGCAAGGTGTGAAAGCGAATCGCCGGGCGGACAGATGGGCGGCGGGACGGACGGACGGACGTCTAGATGCCGATGGCGCCCACAAAGATGACGGGACGGTGGTCGGATCGGCCTTCGAGGATCCGCATCTCTCGGTCGTCGAGGCTCTTGTAGAGCAGGCACTCGATGTGGCCCTTCTTGGGTCCCACGAGCTGAGGCGCAGGGCTCCGACCACCATCACCGGAGGCACGTCCATCGGCCTCGACCTCGACATCGTGCTCGTGCCCACTGCGCAGCGCGGTCAGAGCCGGAGTGAGGAACGACGGCAGATGGTGCGACAGGTGGTTCATCCACCAGCCTCCCGACAGCCTCGATGGACCCGTCGGCGGGCTAGGCGGGGCCTCGTCGGCAGGGGCGTGACTGTTGCGATCCGTCGTGACCGCCAAGTCGTCCGCCCCGACTGTCGTTGCGGCCGCCGCTGCCTTCGGCGACTCGTGATTCGCAAAATGCCGGGACAGAGGCGTCAGCGATGAAGGCAGATGGCGGTGACGGTGCGGCGTCGCACCGCTACCGATGCTCGTCTCGGAGCCTGTCCGCCGACCGCGTGGTCGCCTGGGCGAGGCGGAGCGCTCGTGGGAAGCCGAGGTGCGCGGGCTTGCCGTTCGGCGCCGCGAAGGGCTGGCAGCACGGGACGCCGATGGCGACGAAGGCCAAGGGGTGGCGCCCTCGTGCGTCTCGCTCGTCGGGCTCGCCTTCCACGAGAGCTTGCTGATGACGGCGGGCCTCGTCTCCTTGGGCGACGCAGCATCGACCGAGTGCAAGGATCCCGGGCGACTCTTCTGCGCGGCGTTGCGCCCTTCCAAGGGCGATAGCGGGCGTGTCGGTGCGCTGTCGGTCGTGGCCGATGGAGCTCGAGCGACGGCTGCGTCGAGCGTCGAAGCCGTCGACACCAGCGGAGACGGAAGCAGATGATGCTGGTAGTCCGACGACGGCGAAGCGAGATCAAACTGCCTATCCCGCTCGCGGACCTGCGACGGCAGGTCGACTGCGCTGATGGCCCTCTTGTCGTGGATGCCGAGGGCCGCCGGCCGATCGCCTGGTCGCAGCAACGACGACGAAGAAGCTGTCAATGACGACGACGAGGGCGCTTCGATGGTACGGCTGGGCTTCAGCTTCTTTGACGAGCGGCGCTTGGGGTGGAGCAGGCGCTGCAGCAGCTGTTGCGAGGACCTCGCCTTGTCCGGGCTTGCGCCGGCGTTGGATGCAGCACCATGCGAGACGGCGCGAGCCCGGGCGGGCACTCGGAGGGCCGGGTCGAGTGTCGGCTTTGCAGCAGCCAGCTCAGGCTCAGCAAAGGTGATGGAGGATGAGGCGGCCGCAGCGGCCATCAAGGCGGAAGAGGTGCTCGTCTGGCGGCTGGCTTGCCGCCGCTCTGCCGCCTGCTTGAGCGGCGCCAGGAAGGCGTTGGTGAGGGCGGTGCCCACACGCGAGCCAAGCCCCTCATGCGCTCCAGAGTCGCGCCGCCGCTGGCTTGACCCATCGTCGCTTTCGCTGTCGCCGTCGTCGCTACTGTCGTCTGCGACCGGGACCGTACTCCTGAAGAGGACGCGGTCGCACCATGACGGTACGCGCTGCTTGGCGCTGGTGTCGTAGGGCTGCTCGCGGAGCGGGCTCAGCTGCTGCTCCGATGCCAGACTGTAGGCGTTGGAAGTGGACCGGGATAGCTGGGTGCTCTGCGAGGTCGAGCGATTCAAGCCGCGCTTGTCGCCGTTGGCGTCCACAGCAGTTCCCGCGCTGCTCGTGGCCCGATCCGTGTCGAGGCCTGCCCCACTGCCAGTGGCCGCAGCTGGGGCGTCCGGGCCGGAAGCGACATGAGAGATGCCGTGGCCGTCGGACGAGGACGAATGCGTGGCGAGGCTGGTGCCGAGGTTGGCCGACGAAGGATGCAGCGACGAGTGGCTCATGTGGGAGAAGCCCGAGCCCGAGTCTCTGCGCCGGCTATTGGCCGACACGACGCTGTTCTGCCTGGCCAGGCCGGCAATAACGACCGGCTCGGCGGCAGCGTAGCGCGAAACTTCCGAGTCAGCCGAATAGCCCTTGGAGTTGGAGCTCGACCGTCGTCGGCCCTGGTAGGGGCGCGGGCTGAGCGAATCGTCGTCGCGAGGCACCTGCCCAGCCGAGTCTGGTGCGCTCGAAGGTCGCTGGCCGGTAGCGTTCTTGACAAAGTCGAGGATGCGGATCTTAGCCTTGATGGCGGCGCCCTGCGAGAAGAGCTTCCGGCCCTGAGCGGCCTGCGTGTTTTCCTCGACGATGCGGCGGTTCTGTGCCTCCTGCTCGGCCTCGGACAGCGTCGTCTCCTGCCTCGCCACCTCTGCGCCACCTGCCAGGACAAAGTTGGTGGCGAAGCCCGAAGAGGATCCGACCGAATCCCACGCCGACGACGAAATCGAGCTGGTGTCGTCGTCGGTCAGGGCGGTCCCATCCTGCCCCTGCAGTTGGGCTGCACGTTCCAGCTGGGCCTGGGCGGCTTTCCGACTGCGACTGACCCTCCTTACAGGCTTCCCCGGCGACGAGGATGGCATCAGGGGCGTTGTCGCAACCTTGCCGTCGACGGTCCAGGAGTCGCTCCGCTTACGAGCGATCGGGACGGCGACGGAGGCACTGACACCGGCTGCGTCCTCCTGCGCCGACTGGTCCGCAACCGCGTCGTCCTCGGTCAGCGTGGGGTCACAATCCGGTGGGACGACGGCCGCGCCAGCTGCGGGCACGGCCACGGCGCTGGCTGCAGGCCCTCGAGCCACGGCGACACTGCTGTTGGCTTCCCCGCTGCTTTCGGCTAGCGGCGCAAAGATCTCCTTGCCGCTCTTGCTACCCGTGCGACGATGGAGGATGCGATCCGTGACCGTCTTCTTGCGTTTGGGCTTCAGCGTCTTGAGCACGTCGTACTTGTAGGTGGGCGGGAAGTCGATGGGGGCCTCGCTGAAGCCGGTGAAAGCCTCGCCCTCGCGAAGGACCTTGCCGAGCTGGTCAAAGGCCAGCGCCTGGTCGTACCGCTTGTGCATCATCAGCCAGTCGGCGTGGTGTCGCGAGATGTCGATGCGGAAGTTGAGGTCGCCGAACCAGAAGCAGTGGTCGAATTGCTCGGTGATGTCTTCGAGCTTCGATCGCGGATCCTCGGGCGGTAGGAACGAGTCCACCTTGAGCGCCGCCTTGATCTTGGCGACGTTGGCCAGGCGGACGGCGACGCGCCCCTCGTGGGCGGCGAGGTGGGCGTTGACAAAGAGCAAACGGGTGGCGCCCAGCTTGACGCTGATGCCGACGCCGCCCTTGTTGCCGAGCCGGCCGGCGAGACCGTCCTTGACGTGGGAGCGGCTGGCGCCGCGGATGCGATCGCGGCATCCGCGCCACACGTAGACGGCCATGTAGCAGCCCATCATGCGCTCCTTGATCACGAGCTCGTAGGGCCCCAGCGCCTTGGGCGTGCCGTCTGGCATCCGCGGCACATCGCTGCTGAGGGGCGGCACGCCGTGCTGCTTGGCGAGCGCCGCCAGCCTCTCGGACGACGGGCTCTTCGAGGGCATGGCGGACGGGCCGAGGAAGCCAAGCCCATGCTCTCCCGAGTCCGATCGGAGAGCTTCGGCCGGATAGATGGCTGGCGACGGCGACCTGAACGGCAACGGGCGTGGGCCAGGGCTCGGCTTGGCGGTGTCGGGCCCGCCTTTGGCGCCCTCCTCGACCGAGGCAACACTGCTGCTGCTGCTGCTCCGGATGAAGGACGGCGCTGTGGGCACAGAGAGCAGGTTCTTGGACGGTGGGACGGCGGACGGGAAGGCCGCCAATGCATCGTGCTTCTTGTGATCCGGGTGAGGCATCGACAGGGGCGATCTGGGCCGTGTCACGGCGCTGTTGGACTCGACTGGCGATTGAAAGATGCCTTCGCTGCCCTTCTTCTCCAGCCCAAGGCTGTCGACCTTGAGCCGCAGCTTGGGCACGTCCTTCTTGCTGCGCAAAGCGGCACGCGGCGAGAAGCCGGGGGCGGACGAGGTCGCCTGCAGGTCGGCGGCCTGCAGCTGCGGCGTCGAGGGGCCGGGTGTGCTGGGAAGGCTCCACACCGGGTCCGGACTTGCGGCGCGGGACAGGTCTGGAGTGCCGGGCTGGGACTGGACGTTGCCCGCCCTGTTGCTCGACAGCCTCCTGTCGTTGAGCAAGAGATCCTTCTTGGATGGCGAGTGGGCCAGGGCACGGGCGAGGAGGGCGCCGCTCAAGAGGGCCCGGTCCTTGTCTCTGCCGGACGTCGAGGGTCCACGGCAGAACCAGTCCTCGCACATGTCGCTCCAGCCTTTGCCGCCGAGGCCGGTCCAGCCTCCGGCGATGCCCGTGGCGGCGGAAGTCACCTTTTCACCCACGCCTTCGATCAGCGATGTGGATCCCGGCGTGGCAGGAGGAGGAGGAGGAGGAGGAGGAGGCAGGGTGCTAGCAGGTCCGGCAAACCTAGCCGCTTCTGTGCCGCCAATCAACGGTGATAGCAGCGGCGCGCCGTTCCATGGCGGCTGCGCTTGGCTCGCTGCATGGAAGGGAAAGCCCGTCGGATCAGATGGACCGCCGAGTCCGGCCTTGTGTCCGTCGCTGCCGCCGTCTGTGTCGGTGTCGCCGGGCGCAAGCGGTCGAGGGGCATTATTGTCCTTGTCCTTGCCCTTGTCCTTGGCCTTCGAACGCTCCTTCTCGCGTTCTCGCGCCTCCTTTTCCCGTTCCTTGGCCGCTCTGGCCTTTTGCTTTCCGATGTCGCCCAGCTCGCCTGCCAGGCCGACGCCGGTGGCGAGCCTCTTGCCATCGCCCCAGGGGCACTCCTGGCCCGCAATGACGAGCAGGTGGTAAGGATGCTCGTCGTCGTGCGGAAGAGGCGGGATGCGGTCCCTCCTCGGCGTCGTCTCTTGCCCGATCACGTAGCGGCCGCGCTTCGCTTTTGCTGTCTTGCTCGCAACACCTTGGGGCGTCTTGTCGGTCTCGTTGCCGGTGGGAGCGGCTTCGTCGCTGCCCGCGGCGGGTCCCGCAGCGTTTTTGGCGGTGGCAGCAGGAGCGGCACCACCACAGTCATCGTCGCGGTCGTCGTCGCGGTCGTGGTCTTCGCTGTCGTCGGCCGCATCCTCGGCTTCGCTGTTGGCCGCAATGTCCCAGCCTTCTTCGGGAGGGACATAGACGCCGGGCCTGCCGAGCAGGACCTCGAGGTCGCCCTTGGGCAAGCTCTCGTGCATGTTCCAGGTCACGATGCGGACCTTGACGCTGGGCCTTTGCAGCCTTTGCGGCTCAGCGAGGAGCTCGGACGTGGTAGCGACATCCCCAGTCGGAGGACCGGCGTTGTCCTTGGCCGGCAGACCCAGGCTCGACGAGCGCGATGGCGCGGATGAGGGTTTCGACGAGGCAGGAGAAGCTGCGACGGCCGAGGGCGGGTCGGACAGGGTGACGGGCGAGATCTTGTCGGCCACAGCGGCTGAAAGGGCCAGCGAGGGCACCACCGGCACGGCGCCGCGAATGACCTTGCGCTTCTTGGTATGCTTGTGCGGCACAGACGTGGAGCGACTCGCAGAGCCCGCGGCATGGTCCGGCAGGTCGAGGTACCTCTTGAGCGTCGACTCGGACCGGCGGTGAGGCACGCGGGCGGGTCTGCTACTGCCGCTCGAGCTCGTGTCAGCAACCTGCCGGGCTTGGCTAGGTGAGCCCGAGCTGCCTCCGACGGTGGTGGCGTCTGAGACCGCTCGGTGCGGCTCGGGACGGGCCGCTTCGATCTCTATCTGAGGCGATGAGGCGGCGTCCTGCTGCTCGTCGTGCAGGAGGGCTTGGAGGCGGGCGTGGAGGGAGCTCTCGGCCTGCGCAGACTGTGACGCACGCGGAGGGCTGCGAAGCTGCTGCGGGGCCGACAGGCGCGATTGAGGCAGCGGTGCCTGATTGGTGGGGGCTGCTGCAACGGCCGAGGTCGGTGGCTGCAAGGACGGAGGTCTGATGCGAGGCTGGTAGGAGAGAGGCCTGCCATCCTGCGATAGCCTCACGTCGGATGATCCCCTTGGTGTGATATCGGAGCGGCCCGAGGCGATCGAAGCCGTCTCGGAAGCGCCGCCGTCCCTTTGGCTTTGGCGCCTGCTCGATCTGCCGCCGCCGCCGCCGCCGATGCGCAGTAGGGAGATGGCCTTTTCCGAGATGCGCCTCCTCCGCTGCTGCTGGAGCTCTGAAGGTGGTGGCTGCAGCGATGCCGAAGGAGCCATAGCCGCAGGCGCGGTTGCAGTCGAAGGCATCCCTGGCGGCGGACTCGGAAGCGAAGATGTGCGATTGGACGAGGACATGGCGGGCGCGGGCGAGGGCCCAGGTCGGTCTATAGGCATGCCGGCGGGGTTGCGAGCCAAAGGAAGGAAGTATGCATATGATGAGATCGAGCTTGGAACATCGCGGTCGGCCCGCTCCGAACGAGACAGGCGGCAAAGGGTGTGTCGGTGACGAGGAAGCCGAGGAGGCCAGCGAGCGATCCAAGAGCGACCGGGTCGTCTATGTTTGGGCGGCGTGCCAAAGGCGCTGAAGTGGCGTGATCTTCCTGCTGACTGGTGTCAATGTGTGGGTGAGGGTGGTGCAGAAGCAACGTTGTCTGAGTGGGAGTCGAGGTGGCCGATGTCGAGACAGAAGGCCGGGCCTCGATGGCCAGCCATGCCGTCACCCGGACCAGCCCCGCTCTCACCACCCTCTCTATCTGCCCGTGCACCCCGCCGCTCGTCAGGGGCTGCAGGCGGCGGTTCCGACGAGGCCCCGCCAGACGGAAATCACAGCTGTCCAAGCCAAGCCTGTTCCGCCTTCCGAGTTGCGTGCCGCCAAACGGGAATTTTTCTGGGCCGGCGCTGCGCCAGAAGGTAAGGCAAGCCGAGGCGGAAGGAGCTGGCCCTCCTCCCTCAGCATCTTATTCTTCCTCCTCGCCGCTCGCCGCTGTACCACCACCAGCCATTACCTCGCACACCGACACCACTGCATCACTGCCATCGCATACGCTGTCGTGGCCACCCCTCGAATCGACCATCGACCACTCGAAGCGCTCATCGGCAGGTAGACCCCGGAGGGACCCTTCGACGATGGCGCCCGCTTCCTCTTCCAAGAAGCGATCCAACCGCTTCGACGACGACGAAGAAGATATCGGAGTGCCGGCCGCCCTCGGCATGGGCGATGCGTCCTTTCCAGGCAGCAAGAAGAAGCGGCCGCCGCCGCCGCCAGAGGAAAAGGAGCTCAGCCTCGAGAAGCTCATCTTCGGAGACAGCCGGCTCCTCTCCACGGCCGCACCTTCTTCGAACCGCAAGGGCGCCGGTAACGCCTCGCACCTGCATGCGCAGAACAGCACTATCAACGGCGACGAAGTGGAACAAGGCAGGCAGGAAGCTGTGACCGATGATCAGCTCTTTGTCCTCGATACCGGCACCGGAGCCGACGACGACGACGACGACGGTCTGCAGGGAGCCGCCAGCGACGACAACGGAGACGAGCAAGACCAAGAAGAGGACGACGACGACGACGAGACCGACTACGAGGCTACCCAGTCCGCAGACGGCGATGGTGACGACTCCGAGGACGGCGAGCAGATCCTAATCGATGGGCCAGGCGCATCCTCCGCGGATGCCGGCCCGTCAAAGTCCAAGAAGCCGCGCAAAGTCTCGGTGTGGACGGACCCGGACGATGCCACCGTGACCATCGCCCTTGCCGGCCGGGATGCTGTCGCGGTCGACGGCTCGAAGCGGGGCACCAAGAAGCTTCGGCGCCTGCGCGAGGAGGCCGGCGAGACGAGCGTGAGCGGCCTCGAGTACGAGCTGCGGCTACGGAAGCAGTTCGAGAAGCTGCACCCTCGGCCGATGTGGGCCTCGCTCCGCCTCTTCAGCCGGCCGCAGCAGGACGAAGCTTCGGCCCAGGCGACCGAGGACGATCCTTCGTTCACCATCACCGACGAGAGCAGCCGGACGCTCACCGACCTGCTGCAGAGCGACAGCGGGCTGCTGGGCACCTACTCGGACGCCAACGGCAAGTCGATCAAGGCGCGCGGCAAGCTCAAGGCCGGCGAGATCGAGGTGGACCGGCTGCGCGACGCCAACAGCGCCCAGACGTCGTACGCCATGGCCCACGACGAGGCGGCGTCGGCCATCGAGATGCTCCAGTTCCATCCGAGCGACCGCGCCAGCGTCCTGATGACGGCCTCGCGCGACCGCCGCGTGCGCCTCTTCCAGATCGACGGCAACACCAATCCGCTCGTTCAGACGCTGCACGTGCCGGACATGCCCATTCAGAACGCCAGCTTCCACCCGTCGGGATCCTCGGTGCTCATCTCGGGCACGCGCCCCTACCTGTACGCCTACGACCTGCAGGCGGGCCGGGTGATCCGCTCCTCGCCGTGGCGCGGCAGCGGCAGCATTATGTCGTCCAGCTCGGGCGACGACGGCATCGAGCGCGACCTCTCGATGGCCCGCTTCCAGCCCGGGACGGGCGAGGGCGGCAACCGGCTGCTCGCCATCGGAGGCAGGAACGGCAACGTCCACCTGCTCGACTGGGGCCGCTCGGGCGCCTCGGGCGGAGCGCGCGTGGGCGGCTTCCGCATGAACGCCCCGCTGGCAGGCCTCTGCTGGGACCCCTCGGCGCACTACGACCGCGGCATCGACGTGCGGCGCGGCGCGGGCGGCAAGGACCACGAGCTGCTGACGCTGTCCAACGAGGGCAGCGTCCACGTCTGGGACATCCGCAACACGGGCACCGAAGTGTCGTGCGTGTCGATCTGGAAGGACCAGGGCCTGTTTGGCGCCAAGGAGCTCGAGGTCAGCCCCAACGGCAGGTTCTGGAGCGTCGGCAGCGACAACGGCATCGTCAACATCTACAAGCGGCCGGGCCGGGCGGGCGATGCGGCGGCCGACGACAGCGGCGCCACGTTCCAGTCCAACGAGGCGCCCGGCGGCCTGATTGAGCCGCTCAAGGATATTGGCAACCTGACGACGGCGAGCACGACGCTGCGGTGGAACCACGACGGGCAGATTCTTGCGCTGGCGTCGAGGAATAAGAAGGATGTGCTCAAGCTTGTGAGTATCCCGCGGCCGCATCGCGTCGCGAGTCGAATGAGGCGGGACCAGGAGTGGACGAGGGCGCTTACCGACCTGATCATCCCCGCCTCCTGTGCTTCCTCTTCTTCCCGCCGCCCCCTCTACGCAGGTCCATTTCCCGACGATGAAGGTCTTCTCCAACTGGCCCACGTCCGGCACGCCGCTGGGCCACGTCACCTCGGTCGACTTTTCACGCGGCAGCCAGTACATGGCCATCGGCAACGGCAAGGGCAAGGTCCTCCTGTACGCGCTGCGGCACTACCTCTGAGCTCGTCGCTTCCGACCCCTTCCCCTCCTTGCCCACACTGCAATGCAACGCCCGCCCCACCCCCTCTCTAACTTTCGGCTGTTGCCAGCTGATCGACCGTGGCTGATTGACTGGGTATTGCACCTCGCACGCAGCGAAGGCGGACTAGAGATGAAAGTAGCGCACCTCTGCGATCAGTACCGCCACGCCGGCAACGGTGGCGGGTCCGACGACGACGGCGCACCACAGTGCAAACTGGCGAGCGCGGACGGTGATGCCGCCCTGGCGAAGGCCCGAGAGCCAGAGCAACCCGGCGAGGGAGCTGGAAAACGTGCCGGCGAGGGCGCCGACGTTGCTGCCAAATGCGATCGAGTAGGTGGCCATCTTGAGGATGCGCTCCTGGTCCGCCGTGGCGAGGTGGGCCAGCTTGGCGTGGAAAAAGGGCGAGAGCGTCGATTTGGTGAGCAGGATCGTGGCGCCAATGTTGGTGCCCCCGATGTTGCAAAGGACGACGCCGAGCGACGAGATGAAAAAGGCCGTCGCGACGTAGCCGTGCGCGCACACGGTGCCCAGCCCACCGGCGAGGATGTTGATGAAGCCGACATGCGCCAGCGCCTGGACCAGGATGAACATCCCGAACGCGAAGGGCAGCAGCGGCAGCGGGAGGCGCGAGAGCACGATCGAGACGGTCGGGAACGTCTGTGCCAGTCGGCCCGGCAGGAGTAGCAGCGGTCGGAGCGGCCGATGCGCTCGAGGCTTGGCCGGTGTGAGCGGTCGCGTCGATGACGTGGGCGTAGCTGCTTCCGGCGACGTCTCGCTGGAAGGGCCGACAGCAGCAGCTGCAGTGGCGGCGGTGACTTGGGCGGTCACCGGGTCCGCCGCCGTCTTGGACACGCCGAGGGGCGCCAGCCCGATCCCATCCTGTCCCTCGCTCGACACCGCACGAGCGACGTCGGCGGAAGTGCCGTCCGCCGTCGCCGACGCTGCGGCCGCCGTCTCGCGATCCTCAGCTCTCGCACCGGCCTCTTGGCTCTCCTTTTCCTGCCGCTTATTCTCCTTCCTGGAGCGGAGGTAGTCGGCCACCCCGTCCCTCGCGAGGCAGAGCACGGCACCGGGCACCGCAATCTCAAACACCTTGACGCCGCCGACGACCGAGGTGCCCACCAGCGTGGCCAGGGTGGCGGCCATGGCGATGCTGCCGAAGATGGCGCCTGGCAGATCCACCAGCGCCGAGCGGGCGTCGACGTCCGGCTGGATGATGCGGTGAGGGATGTAGATCAGCGGCGCCCTTTTCCGCTCTTGGTGGTCCTCGTGCTCGTCGAGGGATGTCTGAGCTGTTACCTGGCTGGCGCCATCAGTAGCCTCGCCCGCGGGTAGCTGCGCGTCGCCGGAATTCGACTCGGCCTGGCTGCTCGGAGCAGCGCGTTGCCGCATACCGTTGCCGGTCTTTGCGACGCCGCTGGTTCCTTCCGACGCTCTCCTGCCCCTGCGCTGAGCGGAATCGACCCTGCCGGGTGCGACCTTGTCCACCTTGCGATTGCGGAAGAAGACGAGCAGGCAGGCCAGTGCGGCCACGGCGCTAGCAAACGCGGGCAGCACCATATAGGCGGTGTAGGTGATGAACTCGACGCCGAAGCCGGTGGCGATGACGAGGTTGGTCGGGTTGGAGCTGACCAGCACGGCGCTCGAGATGTTGGCCGCGACAAACTCGGCCCAGATCCATGCGTCGGGCGGCGAGATGCCTGCGACGCGTGTCAGGTAGACGAGGAAGGCGGTGCCGCTGAGGATGACGGGGTCGTTGCCGACGAGGACTCCGGCCGACCAGAAGAAAAAGTAGAGGAGCAGGTAGAGCTTCCTGCCGCTCCCCTCCTGGCCCCGCTTGCCGGACTTGAGGCAGATGAGGAACGCCAGGTAGCGCAGCAGGCCCGTCGCGTCGAGCGAGATGGCAATGTAGGCGAGGGAGATGAACAAGAGCAGCACGTCGTACGGCTCCACGCCATCCTCGCCCACGATGCCCGTGCGGATCTGCGCGCCGCCGATGGTCGTGGTGGCGAGGAGCAGCAGGACGCCAATCAGGGGCGCAGAGACGTGGTCGATGGTGAGGTACATCGGGCGTCGCAGGTCGTCGTCTCGGTCGTGATCGTCGCCCGCAATGCTGGTCGAGTCTGACTGGTGCACAGCAGCGACGCTTTCGTCATCGCCGGCGAGCGTGATCCAGATCCGCCGGCGCGACGTCCGTATCGCGATTGCCATCCGCTGCGGAAGGCGAAGCCTGAGCGGGCGGATGACGACCAGCGACACGGCAGCAAAGACGATGATGGCAAAGATGCCGTGACCGTCGAGCGAGGTGCGCTGCGTGTCGCTCGAGGCAGCTTCGGCTCTCTTGACGAACTGGCTCTGGCCCAGGAGCGCCGCGGCCGTCGTGGCCTTCGGCGATCGCAGCTGCGTGTGCAATGGCGACCAGGCGAAAGGAGAAAGCGACCACGCTGCTCGCCGAGGCTCAGACCAGTGGCTGTAGTTGTAGTTGGATGATGCGCTGAAGGGTGGGAAGACGGAGCAGGAGCAGGCGGAGCGAGTTCAGCGTGATGTCGGGGCATAGCTAGGACGGAGTCAAGATGCGAGTCGCCAGCGACGTTCCACGACACCTGCGCTGTGCTGACATCGTTGCTGCGTTGCCCAACAGCCGCCCTGCCCGGGATCTAAAGCTCATTCCGCGGCCGCCGTAGCGAGTCGAGCCATCGCAGGAAGCCTGTCTGGCCAGGGTCGACGCCATCATGGCTGCGACGAAGGCGGCGATGGCGCCGGACGCGACCTTGTGCTCGTACAGATGTGCGTCGTGTCGGATCGCCATGGACGCCAACTGCTTGGGGCAATGAGGCTGAGCCCGAGCTTCTCTCCTGCTCGTCCTCGGCGTTTCCCTGTGCGGCTGGCCGAGCGACCGACGACTTCGCAGACCTCGCAGCGCCCTGTCCGCTGATCGGAGCGTCGAAGGAGTGGCCATGTTCGCGGCTGGCGCTGGCGAGACCTCCGGACTGCATCACCGCGCTATGACATGGCCTCGTCGATGGCCTGTGGGCTCGAGTGTGCATTCTCTGGAGGTTGGTGCGCTCGCAGTCGGCGGCGTCGCTGCCGTCGTCGGTGTCGTCGCAGCCATCGCGCCGACTCCTTTCGGCAGAAGACGGGCTTTGGAGCGAGGGCGATGCACCTCTGTCTCCATTCATGGGCCCGTGTGCTGATCGGACCACATCTTCGATCATCTCGAGCAGCCTTCGCAGCTTCTTGTCGAGCCTGAGCTCAGGAGAGGCTTCGGCTCCATCGGCCGTCTCGGAAGGGCCGAAGGTGTGGGCACCGCCATCTTCGGAGAATCCGCAGGAGTGTCGGCGCGGACCGTCCCGACACGACGTCTGTCGATGGGAGGGCATGACTACTGAGTGCTGCTTCGACGTGTGCAACGGCATCGAGACGCCGCAGGAGCACTGGCGACCGCGGCTACGATCTGCCCATGGTCTGCCTTGATCAGAGCCGAGGACTGCTTGCCCGACATCTGGGCGCAATCTCTGACGCGCTCCATGGTCACAGCAGCGGTGATCTGGACTGCGTGGCCCGCAAGCTTCAGCTGACCGACTCCCGGCTTTGCAGTCATGCTGGAGCACGCAGCGCGTGGCAAAGTCATAGGCCCGAGCTTCGGCCGTGTGGCAGGAGGGGCAGAGTCCCTTGGCGAGAGGCTCGTCGAGTACGACGATGTCCGCACGGTCTGAACCGCCGATTATCCTGTAGGGAGCGATCCGGGCCAATCGTGCGAGCGGATCAGGGGGGCTGTGTCGCCGACAGCCGTACCGAGGCAGCCGTGGGCGCAGAAGGAGCGGAGAGGGACCATGAACAAGCAGCGAGCAGGCCCGACGGCACTTACCTGTTGAAGCTATCTTGCTGCTCAAGGTGTACATCATGGAGCTGCTGGCTGATGGACTGACTGCCGTCGTGGACCGTGTGGCGTATCCATCCTGCATGGGTGGCGAGGACGAGGAGCAGCAAGGCGGCCGCGATCAAGGCGACGCCCAGTGACCTGCGATGGGCGCTGCGATTCGCCTTGGTCCTCAGCATCTGGACGGGCCTGCGTGCTTGATGGGATGATGGTTGGTAGTGAGGCAGCTTCGATGTGCCAGGCTGGGCTCCAGGGAGAGGGAAGAGAAGAAGCGAAGCAGCGGTATAGTTTGAGCTCGAGCGGTGGGCAGGCGGTCAAGCGGCGCTCTCTCTATCTCCAAAAGAAGCTCAAAGAGCCGCGCTCAGCGCTGTCGCGATGCCTCCACCTGCACATCCATGTGCGCCACGTGCGCTTGGCTCGCGGCTTCTTTCGTTCTTTTCTTCTTGACACCTCAATCGGTTTGGCGCTCCTGCGACCCACCTCGACCGCTCTGCCCCGTCCCGCTCATCGTTCGACAGCCGCTATCAGCTGCTTGCCTCCCAGGGTGGCCACCCACTGCGGCGTCGAGAGGGCGCAACGATTGTCCGGAATGGCCCCTCGACCGACTGCGCTCAGTATTCTCCGGGACTGCCCACGGCTGCTATTCACTGCCGCTCGACCAGGCTCATCGCGCTTGCAGCCATCCCCCGACGCCCAGGTCCGCCTCGCCTCGTCCAAGAAGGGCTCCTCCGCTCGCTGTGAGTGGGCGACCTGCCCTCCCTGCGATCCATACCTGCTCGCCGGGCCGTCGCAGAGACTGATCGCAGGCCCTCGTTCTTGACCTGCCGCCCTCTCATAGACCTCGCCAGACAGAGGAATGACATCGTGAGTCAGTCACGAGAATCCCAACGACCAGCACCTCCCAGCCTGCTGCACCTCTGCTGACCCTGAACCACCGCCACGCATAGTACGTAAAGGGGCGCCAGCAAGGCAGCACCAGCTTCGGCCCAAAGGCCAGGCGAGGCACCCCCATCGGCTTTGACGACTTCCTCGATCATGCAGACGAGCCAGCTTCTGCCGACGTGCTCGGGGCCTCGTCGGCCGGCTACATCTCCCGATCGGCCTTCAAGCTGGTCCAGCTCGACGACCGATACCGCTTCCTGCGCGGCAACAAGGTCGTCGTCGACCTCGGCGCTGCTCCCGGGGGCTGGACCCAGGTCATCGTCGAGCGGCTCCGGCGCAACAGCAAGGGGGGCAAGCGGCGAGCCGCCAGCAGTGGCGATGATGCGCTCAGCGATGATACCCAGCCGCTCGACCGAGGAAGAGCGACGGGGAAAGTCTTCGCCCTCGACATCCTGCCGATGCTCCCCATCGAGGGTGCCACGACTCTGCAGGGCGACTTCCTTGACCCTTCCGTGCAGGAAAGGCTCAAGCAGCTCGTCATCGCAGGCGACAGTCGCAGCCCCAACGACAAAGAGGCCGATGTGAAGGGTCATGAAGAGGGTGCAGCTGAGCCGAGTCGGCGGCGGCGCGGCTTCGTCGACATCGTCGTCAGCGACATGATGGGTGCGTCGGTCGGTCTAGCGAGGAGCGACCAAAGATCCGCTCTGCTGATGCATCCCTACCGCCCTCTTCCCTGTTCCAACTCTCCAGCCAACACAACTGGCAATCCCGTCGCCGATACGGAAGCTTCTCTGGAGCTCTGTCGGGCGGCGCTGGTGAGTCGCATCAGCGCGCCGTCGCTTCCTTTTGCCATCATCGACCAGGGGAATCTGACCGTCGTTCTACTGCTTCCATCCTGCCAGGGCTTTGCGTTGGCAACACTCAAAGTCGACCGGGAGCCGCCATCCCGGGGTGACGATAAGCGCTCGCCGAGCCCGCCTCCCTCCGCATCTTCTTCGGTGCTGGTGATCAAGTACTTCATGTCGGCCGAGGCGGATCGCTTCCGCAAACAGGAGCTGGAGCGCCACTTTCGCTTTGTCAAGGCCGAAAAGATGGACGCCTCGCGCAAGGAGAGCCGCGAGCAGTTCTGGGTCTGTCGGGGCTTTCGTGGCGTCGCACCGGAGTCGCAGCCGTAGGATCCTGTCGCCGTAGTGCACCGACTGCTTGGCTCTAGAATCGCCAGGAGCATGAATGGGAGCAGGGAGTCTGTGGGAGGGCCTGCCCTGGGGTATGTGTGTGTGTTTGCCTGGCCAAGCGGATGTGCCATGGCAGGTGGTGTTGGTCTTTTTGGCCCGCCCGCATGCACGTCGTCTTGGACCCCTGAGCGGATCGAGCTATCCCTTGGCGCAAACACCATCGCTCCCTCCGCCCTCTTCCATCTTCGACTCTTCGCGCCGCCTACCTCGTCCCTGTCGCTGCCGCCAACGTCAACGCCAACGCCAACGCTATGGACCTGGCCTAGACGACGCTGCGACCATCGTCGACCATGTCACAGCTCAGTCCGTCACCCCCTCGACGGCCCCAAGCGGGGCCGATGCCGGGCATGACACGCTCCACGTCGTACGTGCTCGTCTCGTCCTCCCTCCCCGATCCACCCACGCCGCCGACGTACGACTCGCCCACGCCCCGCCGCCATCCTCGCTACTACTACCTGCTCCCCGCCCTCGCCGCTCTCGACTGCGTGTCCACTTGCGTCCTCGCCTTCCTGCTGTGCCAGCAGCAAGCACCTAGCGGCGGCGGCGGCCCCGGCGGCGATGTCCCTTCCTCACCCGGGACGGGCGGGGGCGGGGCAGGAGGCGGTACTGGCAGCCCCAAAGATCCGGCAGCGCCCTACTGGGATCGTCAGCGGCTCATCCTGGCAGTGACTGCGGTGGCCATCGCCCGTGGCTGCACCTTTGCCATCGTCGGCTTCAGCAAGCGCATCCGCGAGCTCGGCGTCATCGTCGCGGCCATCTGCATCCTTTCGGCGCTCTACAACGTCTCGGTCGCCAACATCCTCTTCCAGGCCAGAGGCAAGCCCGACATTGTCAGTCCGCCAGTACCACGTCCGACGACCTCGCCCAACGCCACCTATGCGCTCGCTCGACCCGACGGGCTCGCCGCATTGACAGTCGTCGGGCAGCCGCAGTCCCGGCTTCTTACTTCGACCATCGTAATGATCTCCACGGCCTCCGTGCATCTAGCGCCCACGATGGCCTTCCTGATCAGCACGCAGATGGCCTTCACCCTGGCCGAGTGGATGCTCTACATTGGCATCGTCGGCGTCAGGGTACCTCCCGGCGGCAACCCCGTCAAGGCGAAGCGGTGGGCGCGCACGCTGGCGCGCGATTCGCGGTACAGGGATGGCGCCGATGCGGCGAGCCTCTACGTGACCGACTCGGACAATGACGGAGACGAGGAGCAAGAAGAGGACGATGATGATGTCGAAGACGCTCATGCAGAGTCTGAGACCGCTGCCCTGAGCCAGGACGATGACAGGAGAAACGTCAGCCGTCGAGGAGCATCCTCGGCCTCCGAGTCGAGGAGCCTGCACCAAGTGCCTCGCGACAACGAGGGTAGCAGACCAACCTCGCCGTTCCTGTCGCCGCAAGGACAGCAGAAGCCTACTTCACTCAAGGCGACCGCAGCAGACGAGCGCACCCTCCTACAGTCTCCTCAACGGGGCTACGGAGCCGCGGGTGCAAAGTCGACGACGCCGCAGCGGCAGCGCAAGCAGTCGCAGGAGCTCATCGGGCGGGGCAGCATGCGCGGCCATCGAGTGACGACGCCGACGCCAAGGTCGCCGACAGTCCCCTTCCCCTCTGCGCGCGACTCACCTCGCACGGCTGAGCTCGGCCTGGTGGGCCGCCGCATCGAAGACATGGATGGCTTCGAGGGCCGGCGCGGCGACGGCAACGACGACGATGATGACGACCTGGACCCCGACGACATCATCGACATCTCGTCGGATCGACGGCTGTCTCGCCACGCTTCCCGACGTCGGCTAGCCCTAGCGGCGCATCCGGAACGGAGGGTGAGCGGCGGGGCTTTGAGCGGTCTGACGCTAGGGCTTGGGAGCTCTGGAAGTGGCGGTGCCGCTCACGCGCTCAGCAAGCCGCTAGGGATTGCCCTCGGAAGCGGTGGTGGCGGTGGTGTGGGCCTGTTTGGGAGGCAGAAGGCCGATGGCAGCAGCGCCGATCCCAACTCTGCGGGCGCTACGCCGCGAAGCTGGACGGCGATCAAGGGCAAGCCGTCGCGTCCTGGAGGAGCCGGTGGCGGGCCGCCTCGCTCAGCCTCGACCTCGGCGTCTCACACAGCGGACCTCGCTGCGGCAGACGCCGCGTCGTCGGAGGTGTCGCACAAGAAGCACCGGAAGCTGCCCGCCTGGCTCTCGAGGAGCAAGACGTCACCCGCAAAGGTTCCACGACATGCCGACGAGGAGTAATGGCTCGGCGCCGCCCTGGCTGCCAGTGGCCCGCACGATTTCCTGTAGCGCGTATACCCCCCCTCGTCTCCTTGCTCGACATTGCGTGCTTTGCAGCGAGTCTGAAGTGTCCTTGGCTGCACGGCGATGCCGAGAGTTTGCATGGTTTGCGTGTTAAGAGGCAGGCATGGGCCGGGTCGAGGTGTTCGGGAGGTCCGGAAGGGTGGGCCGGTCGGCTGCACCGGACTGGCTGGCCTGAGCGCCGTCCGCGTGCGGCGCTGCTTAGCTCCGGTGCCAAAGGAAGCAAAGGCGCAGGCAGACGGGCAGGCAGGCAGGCCTAGGGTGAGGTGATCGCTCTCCTATTGGGAGCGGAGCGGACCCTGGCTTGGCCTGGCCGCCTGTCCCACGGGCCGGGCTTACCGCATGCCGATCTTCGAAAGTGGCTCGAGGTCTCTCTCTCTCTCTCTCTCTCTCTCTCTCTGGCTGCCTCTCTGCTCTTCTTTTCCTTGGCTTCCCCTTCAACCGACTCCTGTCTCCTCACCACCATCATCATCCTTTCCATCTCCTCCCCGCTTCGTGCTACTCGTGCAACGTTGCCCATCCTGGCGTCCATCAGCCCTCTCCGTACACTGCCGCATCTCTTGCGAGCATCCCGAGCCCCTTGCGCCCCCGCCCCTGCCATCGCTGCCATCCGGGCCTTTTCCTCGCCTGCCTCGCAGATCGACGCCAAGCTGTCTTCCCCGTCGCAGCCCTCTGCGTCGTCGTCGCTGCCCGCCTCTCGATCCTCTGCCGCCACTCGTCTCGGTCAGACGGCCACCCACCTCCTGTCATCCAGCAGCTCCTCTGCCTCCACCCCTTCCCGTGCTTTTACCACCACCGCCGCCAGCAAGATGCCTCCGGTCCCCAAGCCCACCTCCGACCACTATGACATGATCGTCATCGGTGGCGGCTCCGGCGCCATGGGCGTCAGCCGACGTGCCGCCTACTACGGCAAGAAGGTGTGCGTCATCGAGGAGGACGGCCGCCTGGGAGGTACCTGCGTCAACGTCGGTTGCGTGCCCAAGAAGCTCATGTGGCACGCGGCCGACATCGCCGAGAAGCTCAAGGAGGCGCCCGAGTACGGCTTCGGCGACAGCGTCGACAAGCCCAAGGTGCCCGGCTTCGAGTGGAAGTACTTTGCCGAGAAGCGCGACGCCTACGTGCGCCGGCTCAACGGCATCTACGACCGCAACCTCGACAAGGACGGCGTCGAGTACATCAGCGGTCACGGCAAGCTGGTGGGCAAGAACGAGGTCGAGATCACGATGCGCGGCGAGGACGGCCAGATGAACGCCGGCACCCACCGCATCCGCGGCGACGCCATCGTCATCGCCACCGGCGGCCGCCCCGTCATCCCGAGCGACGACAAGATCCCCGGCGCCAGCCTCGGCATCAACTCGGACGGCTTCTTCGCGCTGCGCGAGCAGCCCAAGCGCGTCGTCGTCGTGGGCGCCGGCTACATTGCCGTCGAGCTCGCCGGCGTCTTCCACACGCTGGGCAGCGAGACGCACCTGCTGATCCGCCACGACAAGTTCCTGCGGCCGTTTGACCCCATCCTGCACGACACCATCGCCGAGTACATGGACAAGACGGGCCTCCAGGTGCACAAGTCGACCAACATCACCAAGGTCAGCGGCGGCAACGGCAAGCCGCTCCAGATTGAGACGGACAAGGGCGAGACGATCGAGGCCGACTGCCTGCTGTGGGCGATTGGCCGCCGGCCCAACACCGACAACCTGGGGCTCGAGGACGTGGGCGTCAAGACCGACGAGGGCGGCAACATTGTCGTCGACAAGTACCAGGTCACCAACATCCCCAACATTTTCTCGATTGGCGATGTGCAGGGCAAGGCGCTGCTGACGCCCGTCGCCATCGCCGCGGGGCGCAAGCTGTCGAACCGCCTGTACGGCCACTCGGACCTCAAGGACGACCACATGGACTACGACAATATCCCTACGGTCATCTTCTCGCACCCGCCGTCGGGCACCGTCGGGCTGAGCGAGGAGGAGGCGTACAAGAAGTTTGGCAAGGACCAGGTGACGGTGCACCAGACCAAGTTTGTCGCCATGTACTACGGAATGCTCGAGCACAAGGCGCCGTCGGCGTACAAGCTGGTCGTGGGGCCGGGCGACAAGGTCGTCGGCCTGCATATTGTTGGCCTGGGCGTCGACGAGATGCTGCAGGGTTTTGCGGTCGCCGTCAAGATGGGAGGTGAGCAGCCGCCGCGTCCTTCCCTCTTTCCCCTGATCGAATCGATGATGGCCGAGAACGACGTTGCTGACCCTCGAAACCGTCCTTTGCCTTGCCTCGTCACGCCCTGTCTCGACGCTGCAGCCACGACGCGCGACTTTATCGAGACTTGCAACATCCACCCGGTCGCGGGCGAGGAGCTGACGAGCATGGTGTTCGACGGCAAGAAGCCCTGAGACGGTGTCGATCGTCCGGGCTCATCTCTGCCCGGCTCAGCTCGATGTCGATCCGGTGGCCCCTCTGTCGCAATGTGTAACTTTGAATCTGTGCTCGGCACCAGGCTGGCGATGTGTCGACGAGGAGCGCGAGTGAGCCTGACCAGGGTGGTCTCCGTGTGGCCGGCATCCAGTCGCCCAAAGTGGAGGTTTGAGCAGAAGCCGAAGGCGGCTTCGGATCCGAGTTGTTGTGTGCGGCAAACATTTTTTTGAGAAAGCGAGAGCGGCGGGGGACGCGGGCACCGGGCACCGGGCGGTCGGGCGGACTGGCCGAGGAGAAAAATTTGAGAAGAAGCGGCGGCGGCGGCGGTGGTGAGCCCCCGACACGCCGACTGAGGACAGCTGATGGCGAGCAGGCCCTGCCTGTGCGTCTCGCTGCTCCACCCCTCACCCCTCCATCCTTCACCCAAGCCGACACTACGCCTCTAGACTCCTCCTCCTCCTCCTTCTCCTTTCAACCCCTCCCCTTGTTCCGGACGTCGCGTCTCTGAAGAGCCATCGCCAGCGTGGCTGTGAGGATACCTGGGCCTCCTTGGACGACGCAACCGCCGCCGCTACACTCACTCCGAGCAGCAGCCTAGAGGTCGTCATCGACACTGGCCACCTGGACCGGCCCGCAACGCCCCGGTCCTCGACCTCGACCTCCCCTCTGACCTGCTGTCTCCACTCGGCACCGCTGACACTTCGCCACGGACTATCCGCACACCATGGTCGACAACATGTCGTCGGCGAGCTCCTCGAGCTCCAGCTCGTCGTCCGACGGCCCCTCTACGCCTCCCAACGCCCACGCCGTGCTGCCCGGCTCCCTCAAGGCCGCCAGGGATGCCGCACACGCACCCATCGAGCCGTGGATGGAGCCCTACACCTTCCACACGCTCAAGACCCAGGATCGCTTCATCAACCCGCGCTCCGACGAGTTCCAGCAGCCCGAACTCACCGAGCTCGTCGCGCCGCTCCTCGAGGGCTTCAACTCGCTCTGGTCCGACGACCCGTCCATCGACCCGCCGTCATCGAGCAACGGATACAATGCCACCATCACCGAAGGCCTCGGTCTGGTCGAAAAGAGCGTCCGGAGATTGCCGACAAAGGTCCTCTTCGACCGCAGCTCCGAAGACGGCGGCCTCGGCAACCGGCTCGAGCTGCGCATCGACAGCGTCCAGCTCTCCAAACCCCACGTTGGCGACCGCGCAAAGGATGCCAGGGAGCGCAGGGTGTTTCCCTCGGAGTGCCGAGAGCGCCTCGTCACCTACCGCGGCAAGCTGGCCGCCAGGATCAGCTGGAGCGTCAACGGCGGGCCAGAGGAGAGCGAGCTGCGCGACCTGGGCATGCTCCCCATCATGGTCAAGTCGAACCGCTGCAACCTGCGCGGACTCAGCTCAAAGGAGCTCGTCCGACGCCACGAGGAGCCCAACGAGATGGGCGGCTACTTTATCATCAACGGAAACGAAAAGGTCATCCGCTACATCATCGTCAACCGCGCCAACTACGTCTCGGCCATCCAGAGAAACTCGTTCGCCAACCGCGGACCCGGCTACTCGACCATGGGTACCATGATCCGCTGCCAGCCCAAGGACTCGCTGCTCAGCATCACCAACACCGTCCACTACCTCACCAGCGGCGGCATGACGATCCGCTTCGCGTGGAGGAAGCAGGAGTACATGATCCCCACCATCATGGTGCTCAAGGCGCTCGTCGACGCCACCGACAAGGAGATCTTTGCGTCGCTGGTCCAGGGCGACTTTGACAACACGTTCCTGACGGACCGCGTCGAGCTGCTGCTGCGCAGCTTCAAGATGTACCAGCTCTGGACGGGCAAGCAGTGCCTCGAGTACATCGGCAGCAAGTTCCGCGTCGTCATGATGACGCCCGAGGACTGGACCGACGCCCAGGTCGGCAGCGAGGTCATCAACCGCCTCATCCTCACCCACCTCGACACGCCGCGCGAAAAGTACCGCATGCTCATCTTTATGATGCAGAAGCTCTACGCCCTCCTCGCCGGCGACTGCGCCCCGGACAATGCCGACTCGCCGATGAACCACCAGATCCTGCTGCCCGGCCTCCTCTACGGCCAGATCATCACCGAGCAGATCGACGAGCTCGGCAACAACATCCGCGCCCAGCTGGCGCGCGACGTCCAGCGCAAGGTCAAGGGCGCCAGCTTCTTTGACAACTCGTACATCCAAAAGTCGATCCAGAAGGTCAGCGCCGACATCGGAGGCCGGCTGCGCGCCTTCCTGGCGACGGGAACCATCACCTCGCCCTCGGGCCTCGACCTGCAGCAGACGGCGGGCTACACGGTCATGGCCGAGAAGCTCAACTTCTACCGATACCTCTCGCACTTCCGCAGCGTCCACCGTGGTTCCTTCTTCGCCGAGCTCAAGACGACCGACGTGCGGAAGCTGCTGCCCGAGGCGTGGGGCTTCCTCTGCCCCGTCCACACGCCCGACGGCTCGCCGTGTGGCCTGCTCAACCACTTCAGCCACAGCTGCCGCCTCATCACGCGCTTCCTCCCCGTCGACCGAATCACCGAGCTGCTCGTGTCGCTGGGCATGTCCGAGGTGTTTGCGCCGGGCGTCGACGCGCGCAAGCACGTCGTCGTCCAGCTCGACGGCACCGTCATCGGCTACGCCACGCCCTCGCTGGCCAGCCACATGGCGACGGCGCTGCGCATCTGGAAGACGGAAGGCGTCAACGACGTGCCGCTCGACCTCGAGATCGGCTTCGTGCCGACGAGCAAGGGCGGCCAGTTCCCCGGCCTCTACCTCTTCTCGGGCCGCTCGCGCATGATGCGCCCCGTGCGGCTGCTGCACAACGGCAAGATCGACATGGTCGGCTCGTTTGAGCAGGTCTACCTCGACATTGCGTGCACGCCCGACGAGATTGAGCCGGGCGTCACGACGCACGTCGAGATCTCGCCAACCAACATGCTCTCGGTCATTGCCAACCTGACGCCCTTTTCCAACATGAACCAGTCGCCGCGAAACGTGTACCAGTGCCAGATGGGCAAGCAGACGATGGGCACGCCCTCGACGGCCATGTCGCGCAGGATCGACAACAAGCTCTACCGCATCCAGTCGCCCCAGACGCCCGTCGTCCGGCCGGCGCTGCACAACAAGTACGGCTTCGACGAGTTCCCCAACGGCACCAACGCCATCGTCGCCGTCATCTCCTACACCGGCTACGACATGGAGGACGCCATGATCCTCAACAAGTCGGTCGCCGAGCGCGGCTTCGGCTACGGCACCGTGTACAAGTCCGAGGCCATCGACCTGCGCGAGAAGATGGGCTCCGGCGCCCGCAGCGGCTCGACGGTGCGCATCCGCTTCGGCTTCGGCCCAGACGTGCCGCCCAACAGCCGCGACCGCGAGCACATCGACGTCGACGGCCTGCCCTTTATCGGGTCCAAGGTGCGCGCCGGCGAGGCGTACGCGGCCTACTGGGACGAGACGACGATGCGGACCAAGTTCTGCCGCTTCAAGGGCGACGACTACGCCTACGTCGACACGGTGCGCGTGCTGGGCAGCGACAACGGCGATCAGGAGCTGCAGAAGGTGCAGATCAGCTGGCGGATCACGCGGTACCCGGCCATTGGCGACAAGTTTTCCAGCCGGCACGGCCAGAAGGGTGTGTGCTCGCAGCGGTGGCCGGCCATCGACATGCCGTGGTCCGAGAGCGGGATGCAGCCGGATGTCATCATCAACCCGCACGCCTTCCCGTCGCGCATGACGATCGGCATGCTGGTCGAGAGCATGGCTGCCAAGGCCGGCGCCATGCACGGCATCAGCCAGGACTCGACGCCATTCACCTACAGCGAGGACGACACGCCGATTGACTTTTTCGGCGAGCAGCTGCGCGCCGCCGGCTACAACCACGTCGGCAACGAGCCCATGTACTCGGGCAGCACGGGCCAGGAGCTGCAGGCCGACATCTACCTCGGCGTCGTCTACTACCAGCGGCTGCGGCACATGGTCAACGACAAGTTCCAGGTGCGCACCACGGGACCCGTGCACCAGCTGACGCGGCAGCCCATCAAGGGCAGGAAGCGCGCCGGCGGTATCCGCTTCGGCGAGATGGAGCGCGATGCGCTCCTCGCCCACGGCACCTCGTTCATGCTCCAGGACCGCCTGATGAACTGCTCCGACTACAGCACCGCCTACGTGTGCCGGACGTGCGGCAGCCTCATCTCGATCGCCTTCGACACCGAGGGGCAGCTGTCCGCGGGCGGCGGCGACGGAAGTGGCGGCGGCGGTGGCGGCGGCTTTGGCTCCTCGTCGGCCAACCACGGCAATATCTACACGATCGACGCCAAGTCGCAGCAGTCGGACGGCGGCGCGCCCGTGCGCGGGCCGAATGGCGAGTACTGCCGCGTGTGCAAGGTCGAGGACGACATCCGCCGCGAGAACGGTGAGGCGCCGCTGCAGGGCAAGAGGCGGCCCATTGGCGGCGCCGAGTCGACGTTCAAGGTGCCCAAGGACAGCGTCATCCGCACCATTGGCGGCGACCTCGATGTCATCGTGAGTGTCCGTCCCCGTTTCTTTGCTCCCCCAGTCGCACCGCGCTGCACCGCGTCTCTGGCCCTGTCAGCGCTCCCCCCGACCGGTAAATTGACTAGCCTCGACTCTCCTTGTTTCTTCACCAGGCCGTACCGTACGTGCTCAAGTACCTCGTCGCCGAACTGGCAGCGATGGGCTTGAAGCTCTCGTTTGAGATTGGCGAGTAAACGTTCGAGTTTCGGCCCCTCCTGCATGTCTCTTCGTCCCCGCGCCTGCTCCTCCCCCTCTCCCATATCCCCTGCATTGTCGTACCCACCTACCACCTTCCTTGCTCTTGCCCATCACTTGCCCCTCTCGGCCTTCCCGTTTCCCTCCGTCTGTAATTTCACGATAAGGTCGATTCGGTCATGTTGCAGTGGTCGTCGATGGTGTGTCCGTGATGGGCGGTGGAGAAGAAGCAGACATTTGCAGAGCTGCTGCGAGGATGTGGCGTGGTTAGGTTGAAGGCTGGACGTCGTTGACTGGCTCGGGACGCGGGGCGAGGCGGCGAGGCGGCGAGGCGGCGAGGCGGGGTCCGCACGGAACGCCTCGGCCAAGTCCGAGCGGGTCCGCTCGTTTACTCGCTGCAGCAGCCCGAGCGAGCATTTCCCGTTAGGCGGGCGCCCGAAAGAAAGCAAGGAGGCAGGGCGGGGGCGGAGGGGTCCACGCACGAGCCTTGTCTTTTCCACACCGCTTCCTCACCCTCTCTCCACCACCACCCCACCACTTGCACCCACCATCAACGGCAACGGCGACGGCGACGGGCGCACCAGGACGGATAGAAGATGGGTTCACCGATAACGTGCCACGTGCTCGATGCCTCGCTGGGTAGACCGGCGAGCGGCATCACTGCCATCCTCTCGCGACTCTCGCACGACGGCCAGTCGGCTACCGTCATCTCGACCGGGTACGGTCCCCCAGTCCCATCCGTCTGCCCGGCTGCGCTCTCGCCTCCCTCCCTTGCCCTCGTCTTCTCGCACCTCGTCGTGGTTCCAGACTGACCCTCCAAACCCCTTCTTTCTTTCACCTTGCCGACGCTCCGATGCCGACATCGCACTACACGGGCACGACACGATACGGTTAGCGAGACCAACCACGACGGTCGTATTCCCGCACTCGTCCCCGATTCGGCCAAGGAGGCGCTCCAGTGGTCCCAGGGCGGTACGTTTAGGATCACATTCAGGACAAAGGAGTACTTTGACCGCACGGGTCGTCAGAGCTTTTACCCTTTCGTCGATGTGAGTCCCAGAGTCACGCCGCGCCACGCCCCTCGTCATGTCCTCCATCTTCGACCCTGGCTCAACGTCGGTCCCTCCGACCCCCCCCCCCCCCCCCTCCCCCCCCCTCTCCCCCCTACACCCCCACTTTTTCTCTCCCCGGGCGATGACAGGTCAACTTCACCATCCCCGCCAACCCGGAAGGCCACTACCACGTCCCCCTCCTCCTCTCGCCCTTCAGCTACACCACCTACCGCGGCTCTTAGGCCGCTACCGGCGCTGCACCCGCAGCAATCGAGGCCATGGCCGTACTGCGACCACTGCTGATCATCGACTCGATTTGGGGGGAGGCGGCGCTGTCGCACGCCCGCGGTACTGCTACAGGAAGGGCTATGGTTACAAGTTGGTTCGGAAATGATGAGATGGGTCTTGCTGCGACGCCGACTGATGACGCCTTCTCAATGCTGGTGATGCTGCGGATTGGCTTTGCCGCATGGCGCACCCGTACGCTGTTTGGTGACTGGTCCTGCCGAGCCTCGGTGACGGCGCGCTGGCGTGCGGCGCCTTTGCTTTCTCTTCTCGGCCCCTGTTTCCGGGCCGTCGCCCCCTCGGTCTCTTCTCCCTTCGACTGGTGCAGCGGCTCAGGTGTCATCGGGCACCTTGACGATCGACGAGGGGCGCACTATGGCGTCCTTTGCGCGCGTCTTGTCGTGGGCCACGCCGCGGAAGCTGGGGAAGCGCGGGTGTCCCGTCTGGGTAATCTCCTGGAAGCGGTAGCTGACGATGGTGCCCACCGGCGGCGGGTTCTCACGCTGTCGATCGTTGAGGCCCGACCCGATGCGGGTCCTGAGGCCGTTTTCCATCTCGACGACGAGTGCTCCGACTCGACCCTCGTTGCGGCCTTCGCCCTCGACGTAGTCGACCACCTTGGCCTCGGCGTCGTAGAACGACTTGAGCTTGTACATGGTCCTGCTGCGCTTGAACTCGTAGAACGACCCCGGACGGCGGAGCATCAGGCTGGCGGCGTCAAGGCGGCGGATTGAGATAGCAGAGCGGAGGGTCAGCACATCGTGGGCAGATGCAAGGATCGACGAAGGCCGTAGTCCGATCAGCTGGGTCTCCCACGCAGACTCACCCTTCACCGCCCTTGCCGTTGACCTCTTCGAGGAGCGCGACGAGGTGGTCTCGGTCGACGCACTTCTCGTGGTGGACCAGTCGGATCACAGCGCCCTGGAGCTGGTCGATGTCGATGCCCTCGGTCGATCCAAAGCGCTTCTTGAGCTCCGCCCAGCGGTCCTCGACCACCTTGCCGTCCATCGAGGGCGCGTCAAACACCTGCGCAGAGGGATAGCAAACGGAGCGGGCATCCGGCGCAACGACGTCAGTGTACACAACGTCGAGATAACCGCGCCCAGGCCCGCTTCGGCGGCTCACCATGTACTTGATGTTGTGCCACTCGGACGAGCGCTTCGTGTCCGAACGGTAGGCAGGCAGGAAGTTGGCAGGATGGAAGCGCGATCGGCGTCGAAAATGAGGCGAAGTCATGCCGGGCCGAACAGCGTCGCGCGGTGGACGTGCGGCAGGGGTGGCGAGAGCGGGCGCAGCAGAGGCAGAGGGAGGAGTGACGAGGGGAGGGGCAGAGGGGCGAGAGGCATGCGAGGTTTTAGCATCGCTCCTCTTCCTCTTTTTGGACTGCGCGCCCGCCTCTGAGGGATTCGATGGAAGCTCGGACGGCGATGTCGCCACCGGACGCTTGCCCCTGCCGCAACGCGTGCAGGTCTGCGTCGGAGAGACCTGCTCGCTGACCAGCTTGCGCTGCCGAGGCCGAGGTCGTGGCAGCAGCGCGCAGAAGGACAGCTGCGCCAGCGCAAACATCGATATCTCGCCCGACTGGACCAGATCGCGCCCGACGCGCAGGCCGAGCCTCTTTTGCGACTTCCATCGAGACGCTCGCTTGCCGCTCGACGTCAGAGCGGCAGGAGCCTCTTCGATGCCTTCGCCGGTGGTGGGTGCGGGCGGGTCCGGTAGGCTCGACGCCAGGTTCGTGACATCGCCTAGGGGGGCTTGCCCGTCGCCATGAGGTCGTCGCCGCGACTGCGCCTGCGACTGAGACTGCGACTGGGACTGCGACTTGGCTTGCGACTGCGAAGTGGCCATTCGACGCCGCCGGGCCTCTTCCTGCCGGATCCGATGCTGGCTCGCCAGCCGGCCGCCGAGCTGCTCGCGCAACCAAGACCGTTCCATCGAGTCCCTCTGCAGAAAATGCTTGAACGTCCGGAGCTTTCCCATCCTTACCGTTGTGCGGCAGATCTGCGAGGTGAGATCGAACTCGCCGCGTCGCATCCACAGCTCGCCATCGAGCGCAAGGTCCTTGGGCAGCTCTGCACGGGAATCGAGGCGTCGCCCGGCGGTATCGAAAGTGTCAGGCTGGCCCGCACGCTACTAAATGATTGATGGACTGACCGCACTCACGGTCCTTCCACCACGTAGGTGCATTCCACTCGAGGTTCTGCCTCGAGAAGAGGCGCTGGCCATCCCAGAAGGCGCGGACACCATCGAGCTGTAAGACAACGGGGGCGTCGGGCGTAGCGGTTCCGTCAGACTTGAGCTGTTTTATCACGACTGCGAGGCCGGGAAGGAAACCTACCTTTTCGCTGACCCACCAGCCCGACGGGTCCATCGGCTTGGATTTCGGCTTCTTCGGATCGGCGTTCAGGACCCAAGAATGGCCGAGGAGCAGCTTGACCTGGAGGAGCAGCAAGAAAAGACAAGGTCGATGGTATGGCCGTTCAGCTGGACTCCGATGCAGACAAACAGCCGCTGACAAGTCCCGGACAGCTTACCTTGTCATCGTTCTTGTCTGCCTTGCCGTTGCGACCCTTCTTCGACGGCGAAGGCTGCTCCCAGGGGAACGAGAAGGCTTTGCCCACGCCTGCGGCGGCTTCGGGCGCCTCGGGCGTGCGAGCTGCTGCGTTGCTCGGCCCAGGCGCCTGGGCTACGGGCTTGACGAGCTCCCACTCGTCCTCGGTTTCGCTGTCGTCCTGTTGACCGACGGGGGCGGGGCGCTTGGAGTTGGACGACGCCGAGGCTGCGACTCCTGACGCAGCGGCGTCCTCGGCAGAGGTGGTCTCGCTCGCCTTGTCGGCAGGGGCCTTGTCCGCGTTGTCGACGGCCTTGCTAACGCCACCGTCGCAGTCTTTGCTCGCCCCCTGGTCTTTCTGAGAAGCCTCCTGGAGCTGTTCATCGAGCATGCTCCTGGCACGGGCCATCCTCGAGGCGACGGTGCTGCCCGAGGCCCTCCTGGTGATGCCCTTGTCTTCCCAGACACTGCTGGGCGCGTCCTTTGCCACCCTGACGCGCTCCTCCTCGTACTCGTCGCCCAGCACTTCGGAGAGGTGCGGGCAAGAGCGTCGGAACTTGTCCCTCTCCTGGTTGTAGAGCCAGGCCGGGCAGCTGCAGACGTAGAAGCCGGCCTCGAAACGCTTGAGCGTGAACTTGCCCGAGCCGTTCTTGGAATGCTCGAGGGGCTTGCCAATCTCGATGACGGTCTTGGGAGGGATCGACTTGCCGGGCACGCTGGAGCGGAGGCCGTACTCGTCTGTGCGGACCATGTCGGGGATGTGCAGGGTGGCCGTGTCGAGGTCGACGATCGACCCCATCGAGATGCCGGTCGGCATTCTGGGCGTGGGTGCTCGCCTCAGAGGCGGAGAGGTTTACATGCGTTGTGTGCTAGACGAAAGGAATGGTCGATTGAGGGGGAGGGCGCGGATTGAGAGAGCAGGTGGGGTAGGGTAGGCAGGGAGGGTGGTGGACGAAAGGACGGAGGGAAGCGAGCTCAGAGAAGGAAAGGGGAAGAGAGGCGGGCGGGGTGGTCAGACAGCGTTTGGCCTTCGCCCGCCCCGCCCCGCCAGAGACAAAAAAGTGTCACTTCCAATGCAGCGCCAGCGGCCTGACCAGGCGCGCAGGACAGGGTCCACACGCGCGCGCGTGCAGCAGCAGCAATTTACACGAAGGCTGCTCGGGCTGCCGCAGCACAGGCGTAGGCGTACGAGAGCAGACGAAGATGACCTTTGACCAGAGGAGTACGGGGAAGGCTACGCAGTAGTGCTACAGTTTGAACGAGCGAGGAGGGAACGGGCCAGGTCAATTAGCGGAGAACGCGAGAAGAGCAGAACGAGCAAACAAGAGAGAAAGGAGAGGAAGCTGGCTGCGACCGCGAAAGGGCCGCTGAGGGGCGACGTGGAAGGGAACAATCAGAGTGCGGGGCCGAAGCCAGACCAGGTGGTTGAGGCCGGAACCTCGGTGGCGATCGAGCCTCGGAGGGCAGGCAGCGGCTTGTCGGCCGCCCTCTGTAGCGCGATCGAGGTGCGCAGAGCGTCCTGTGCGGGTGCCGAGTGGGCCACGGCCTCCTTGGCCGAGGAAGGCGGCAGCGACGTGGGGATGCTGAGCGCCTTGGGGACGTAGCGCTCGCTCATGCTGATGCGGCCGGTCCCGGCGGTGAAGCTAGCAGGGCTGGCCTCAAACTCGCCGGAGAGCATCGAGCGCCGGTTGAGCGAGTTGGGCGTGCCACCCGCTTCGCTCATCTCCGAGATGGGCGCCATGCCCATGTCGAGAAGGTGCAGCGATGGCCGGGTCGGCGAGGTGGGGACGAATTGCTGGCCTGGCACCGAGCGAAGGGAGCTGCGTCGGGGCGGAGCGCTTGGCTTCGGATGGTGGGCCGAGTCCTGACTTAGGCGGCCAAGCGATTCGGGGCCAGCGCCGATGCGATGGACGACGTCTTCGGCGGGCTTGGTCTCGATGGCCTGGCTGCGCTCCATGCTCCTCTCCGACATTGACGTGGCCCTCGAAGACAGTGAGTCCCAGCGTCGCATCGCACGAGGGAAGAAGGAGAAGCGCGACTCGGCGGCCTCCGAGCCGTCCGAATACATGCCACCGGTGTTGTAGGACGACGCCTTGGAGCTGCCCGACTGGTCCCGCGAGTGACGTCGCGAGACGCTCGAATGCTCGCCACGTCCAGAGAGGGCGTCGAACGAGAACTTGCGGGCCGAAGGCGGGTACTTTCTCGACGGCAGTCTCGAAGCCTGAGACAGGCTGGGAACCGAAGGCAGTGGGCGTTCGGCGGAGGCGCTCTGCCTCGGTGGCTGCGCGACCAAGTGTACTGGCACCGTCGTCGATCGCGTCGGTGCTTGCGGCTCGTATGGAAACGGGGTCGGCTGTGGAAACACCGGGGCTGCTTCCCGGGTCGCCTCGCCGCGTTTCGCGCTCCACGGAAAGCTGAAGAGCTTGTTGAGGCTCGAGGTCGAGGATGATGTTCTGAGCCGTCTCCCACGGCTCCGCAGCGTCTCTTGCCCTGCCTGGGTTCCTTCGTCGTCGTGATCAAAGTGGGACCGATTGAGACTAGAGAGGCGCCGCCTTAGGCTCCCACCGAAGCTCGATCGGCGATGCAGCGTGCGCTCTGCTGGGACCGTGTGGAAAGAGGCGTAAGCATCGAGCGCCGGCTCGTCCATGACGGAGTCGAAGCGTGGCGGCAGCTGGTAAGCTGGCAATGGCTGTCGACCTGTCGCCGCGTCGGCGGGCAGCGGTACGACGGCGTACGAGGCTGGCATGGATCGGAGGCTGGCGGTGTTGCCGGCGTTTGTTGGAAAGTGCATCGAGGTTGCGCCGTGCAGATCAGGTGTGGTCTGGAGCGACAGCGATGGTTGCGATGAAGCAATCTCGAGCGAGATGCGCTCCACAGTCGCCTGGAGCTCGCTGATTTTGGCTCGATGCCTCTCGACCTCCTGCCACAGGGCAGCCTGGCGCGCATCCTCCATCGCGTTGCCAGCGCTAGAGGCCCGCGCTCTCGCGCCGAGGTTGGGCGAGCTGCTCATACCGCGTAGTACCCTGGTCCCGCTGGCGTCGGAGGCTTGCGCGCCAAACCGCGGTACGCCCGAGATGCTGGCCCTTGCAGACGGGCCGTGGTCGAAGCCGCGGCATCCGCACTGCCAGGTGGCGTTGCCCTTGCCGGCGAGCGGACATGCTGGATGGTGGAAAGCCGACGGCGCGGTCCGGATGGCTGGAAAGCCGGTCTCGTCGATCACGACGCTCCAGGCGTGCAGCTCACCCGGCTGCCGCTTGTCTCGACCTACGCCAAAGCTGTGCACGCCGCTTTCCGAGTTTCGCCGCTCGATGCGAGGCGGACTGGCAGGCTGCGGGACCGTGGCCAGGGCCTGGAGGCGGTTCAGATCGAGGCTGCGCGCCGTCGGCCGGGCAAAGGACGCCGAGGTCGATGGGATCTTGCGCTCGGCACCGACCCTGTTGGCGCCCACCAGACCGAGCCCGCCCGCAAACGCGGCATGACCCTGCTCCGAGTCGACGTCGAGGAGGACCTCCTCGTCCTCTTCCTCGTGGGTCCGTCCGCTCGTAGGATCGTCCATCCCTAGCTGTACAGGGCTCCCGAGGCCTCTGCTGAGCGTGTCATTTGAGGGCTCTTCGATGCGAGTGCCACCAGTGCCGCTGCCGGATGAGCCCGGCGGTATCGGTCGAGAAAAGTTGGGGCGAAGGAGCCTGCCAGGAGCCGGCGCAGCGTCTTCCTCGTCCTTTCCGCCGATGTACGTCTTGCGAAACGGCCGGCGCTCATGCGCGGCATCGAGACTCGCTCCACGTGAGGCGGACGTGGTCGCCTGGCCGCCCCCGGCATCTCGGGTGATCCAGCTGGGTGACTGGGCCTCTGACGAGGGGCGAGTCGAGGAGAGGTAAGGCAGCGTCGAGATCGATGCACGGCGAGATTCCGACGACTCGGGCTGATGGACCTGCTTGGCCTCGTCTGCGATGGTGAAGTCAAACGAGTCCATCTCGTGCAGGTCAGGGCTCGACTTGACCCTCTTGAGGCGGCTTCGCACACCAGGCGGGGCCCGCGCGGTGGGCAGCGGTGCTCCCGGCGAGTGGTTGCGCCACACATGCTGCGTGGTCTCGAGCATCTGCTTGATGGCGTCGCGTGGGATGTCGAGCGATCTGGCAATCTCTCCGGTCGATGCTGTGGGTCCCAGCACGAGCGAGGTGGTGCTGCTCGCCGCCGAGCTGGCTGTCGCGTAGATGGAGGCCGAGCTGGGCGGTCTGTCGGGCTCGTAGAAGCGATCGAGGCTCTCGTCTCTTGATCCGATGACGTCCGTTGCGGGCGCGTTCCGCTGGCTCGTCATCTGCGAGAGACGCTCCGAGCTGCTGGAGGGGCGCTGCTGGCCCGAGGCGACGGCCGGCTTCTGATTCGCCTTCTGCGTCTGTCTCCCCGTCTGGTAGTTTGGCGAACTGGGCGGTCCGCCTTCGAGCGTCAGCCTCTTGAGCGGAGACCGCCCGCCGTGGGTAGGCTCCGACCTCGGGTGAGGCTCGTTGAGGTCCAAGAGGGCGAGCGGCCGCGGTGGCAGTGCTCGGTCAGGCGCGGGACCTGGCGGGACGAGGCGCTGCGAGCTCGACGGTCGCGCCGCCCCTCTTTCATGCCCCTCGCGGCTGGTCCGCCTCGAGCTGCCGCCAGCCGCCTTGGCCGAAGAGGATGCGTCGGATGCCGCCGCGCTGAAGCGCTCTCCGGCATGCTTCCGGTTCTCAACGGCCCAGTTCTCCCCGCCGTCCCAGCCCATGTTACGGGCGGCTCTGGCGACCGGGGCGGGCGGCGATGTCCCGACCTCTGCCCGTCCGATGGGCGAGGGGAACGAGCTGATGAGGCCGGCAAGGGCGGGAGAAGAAGACGGGTTCGACTGGAAGTGGCTTGGGGTCACGGTCAGGCTCGACATGGCCGGAGAAGCCAGCCGTGTGTCGAAGGTTCTGATCGACAGGCGCTCCGGTATGGGTGTCCTGTCCGGGTCAGTGAGGCTCGGGCTCGATCTGGTGCGTCCGATTGGCCTGTGACCGTTGGCTGCTGCCCCTCGCGCCTCTTCAGACGGGCTCCGAAGCGGCAGCGGGAACAGGCCGTCGCTGAGATCCGTCTGATCGAAGAGGTCCGAATCGAAGCTGAGGGCTGGCGCCGGAGCCGACGCCGGCGAGGGCGTCGACGATGGGATAGCTTGCCTGGCGGCCGGCGCGACGGTGCCCGAGCTGGGCGATGGCCAGTTGCGCTTGACTTTGGGCGCCCACCGCGGCGACCAGCCCTTGATGGACCCGCTGCGCGCAGCGGCCTTGGCCGTCGAGGGAGAGCCGTTCGCGAGACGAGCATCGGTGCTGACCTGATAGTAGCAGCGTTGGTGGAATACAAATGATGGCAGTCAGCTCGCGTTGGTTCCGGAACGGTCCCGGTCCTGGCGGTGCGGCACATGTGCTGCGAAGCTCACCCTGCTCCTCAGATCCGACGTCTCCTTGGGCGGCATCGAGGGCGGGAAGCGCTCCAGAGGGCTGTCGGGTTCGGTCCAGTTGGTCGACGAGGCTGTGTTCGGGTGTGCCGTCGTCCAGCTGCCCTCACCGGGGGACGGCGTGGCCGGCAGCGCCTTGGACCTTGGCCGAGGCAGCATGACCGTTCGCTCTCGGATGGGTTCCGATGTGGCTGGCGTCCGGAGGCCTGAGCCGTGCGTCGGAGGAACTGGCAGCAAGACGACGGAGGTGGACCGGATAAGAAGACAGGGTCACGAAGGAAGGCAAGGGTCGATGAACATGGGGCTGGGACACTCGACGATGGCGGGGTTCTAGGGAGTGGTGGTGGTGGTGGTGGTGGTGGTGGTGGTGGTGGTGGTGATGATGGACAGACGGCGCGAAAGTCGCCGCCCCTCATTCCAGCTCTCGTGGCGGTCAGCGCCTGTCACAGCTGCATGGGCCTCGAGCCGGTAGCGGAGGTGCAGCAGCGCGATGCGGTGATGGCGAGGCAAGAAGGCAGACAGGCCGTGCGGATCGTGGTCCGGGGGCCCGGCGAAGAGGCGAGCGGTAGCAGCGCCGGCTGCAGCAACCTGCACCTCCTGGTGGGCTTTACCCGAGGCGACGTCCAACCTTGTCCGGCGGCGACGGCCAGCAGGCCTGCAAGGGAGAGCTGGGGGGGAGAGCAGAGCGAGCCCTCTCAAGCTTCCAGCCTTTGAGCCAAACGAGACGCGCCTCGAAGCACGCGCGCTTTCGTGACGCACCAGACGCGGCCCTCGCCCGGCCTGGTCGCTATCGTGGCCCGAGAGCGGGGCGAGCGGGGCGAGCGGGCATGTGAGGGGTCGGCCTGGACGGTTCCTGAGACAAGCCCTTGTTTTTTGTTCGCTCCCACCGACCCTGGCATCCCAAATCGACGGACCGGACGTGGGCGACCATCCCCCGGCCTCCCTGTGGCCAGCCGTGTCCGTCCCCCTGACTTGGCGTGTCTCGTCGCCATCGACTTCAAGACGGGCGACCTTGATCATGACCGGGTCGAAGGGAGGGCAGGTTGCGTTGCGTGCTCTCCGTGCAAACCTTCCTGGCTGGCGCCTTGGGCGGATGTCAGAGTCGAACTTCCCGCGCTCGGTGTCCCACGGCCCCCTTCTCTTCTTTCCAGCATCGAAAAAGAGCGGCGCGGGTTGGAGGGCTGAACATCAGCTCGGCGCTCGGCGATGTCAGCGGCGACGACTTTTGAAGCTCAGAGAGGGGTCCGTCCCATCGTTTGGCGTGGCGTGGCTGGGCTTGGCTTGGCTTGGCTTGGCCTGTCCTGGCCTGCCTGCCAGCTGCCCGTGCTGGACCCCTGTCTGGATGATGGAAGTGGCGTCCGTCCAGGACAAAGAGAGGCAGCTGCGCCTCATCACGGCCCCTCTGTGCGAACCTCTTGCTTCCAACACACAGAATCGGGGGATTCGAGAACGGCCATGAACGGTCGCCCTGCTGGCCTACTCCTGGAACGAGAAGCCCGAACAACGTCGCGGCGGGCAGTTCGTTCATGCCTCCAGCACCGCGCTCTAGGCCTTGCGCACATGGCCGACTTGATCTGCCGCTAACGCCTTGGACGGCCGGCCCCTTAGGAGCACGCCCGCGACTCGGTCGGCGGCGTCAGCAGCCTGACTCGGAATGACGGCGCCGAACCGTCACTACGCCCGCTCTTCCTTCACCTGACAAGGACGTTGGCCAGACAGGCTGCCAAGGCAAGTCGGGGCTCTCGGTATCGCGATGGGTAACTGTACCAGGTCCGAAACGGGGGACCCTGCTGCTTCCCATGGAAGAGGTGTCAGAACGAAGCGCCTTGCATAGACGAGGAGGGAGGGGGTCTGGCCTAGCCTAGGATCGGCCGCAGTTCCGTCCCGCTCCAAGACCTTGGCCGGCTAGCCAGCACGCTCGTTTTCCTTCTTCTTGACCTGACCGCAGCGAAGGGGACGCAAGGAGGTCGGAAATAGCACCGGTACCGCCCGCCAGCCTCCTCGCCCAAAATGGCTGGTTCGCTTGGCCGACCGTGCCCACGCACACTACTTTTCTTGACAAACACACAAGTGCGCGCAAGCAAGCAAGCAAGCAAAGCAGAGTCGATCTTGGTCTGATTGGCGATGTCAAACGGCTTCGGCTCAGGACGGAACCGCCTGCCGTGGATCCGCGCAATCGAAGATCGTGGTTTTCTCCCCCTGTCCAGTCGGTATCGCCGCTTCCATGAGGCAAGAGCGCGGAGACCGCCCGCATGCCCCCTCGATGCGAGCGATAGGGGGTCTCTGCCCTAGGGCTAGATTGTTCTTCGACATCTTCATACCTGGGACTCCTTGCTGCCCCCCTTTCAATGGGAAGAACGAAAGAGGACCATGGGCGGGCGCGCCTGTGCGCGTGCGTGATCCGCAGCCGGCCCAAGCAACGCGTCGAGCGCGTCGTCGAGGGGACTTGGCCGATAACAGAGACGGTCAAGACCGCCTCAGGATGATGATGACGGACGGACCACGAAGCTACGTGCTGAGACCAAGAGGAGCGCGGCAAAAAGAACAAGGTCAACTGCAGCACCCGGGATTCCCGCGTGGTCCCCCACCGCGGTACTGGCCGGGCGACTACCTGCTTAACTGTGCAGAGCGGACGGGATGCAGTGCTTTCAGGTATCTATGGCCGCAGATGAAAGCAAAGCGATGCAATGCACTTGTAGCTGTCTGTCAGAGCGAAGGTGCGCAGCGTGTGAGAGAGAGAAAGGGCCCATGACGAATGTGATTGAGTGACGATAGAGCAAGCGCGGTGTCTCTAGCTAGTTGCGTTCTGAGTCCCGTTACGATTGTGGTCTGGAGAGAGGGGGCGGTGGCGAATGTGACTCAATGAACGAAACGCACGTCGAGGCGCTGCGTACCTCGGTCCGTGGTGGTGGTAGTATACCGACTGCAATGGAAACGTCGTAGCGGCGCAGCAGGAACGTAGGGGGAGAGACAAAGGTCAGTCTCATCTGGAGCCCGTGTCGAGTGCAGGCCAGCGAGGGAGCAGGGCAAAGCGACGACTCACGTCTGTTGCTCGTGGGACATGGCGGACCAGACCGCCTGCTTCTGTCGGTTCCTCCAGACGTAGTAGGCCTTAGTGAGCCACGCCTGCAGGATGGCGACGGCCGAGATGATGATGAGCGCCAGGTTGCCCTTGTTGTAGAACGGTCGGTCGTTTGTCATGTCTGGTTTGGCCGGGAAGGGCAGGAGAATTGCAAAGAGCAGGAAATCAGCACCTTGTCTGGTCGCAGGAGGCGAGGGAGCGGGAAGGGGAGAGCGACTACTCACACACTCGTGTAGCGAGGATCGTCGAGACTTGGACCATCATGTTGTAGAGACTGCCCCGAGTCGGGATGCGAGGTGTGAACTGAACGATGGTCAGTACGCAAAGCCGTCGAGACTTGGTCGAGGATCCGGGTGGTAGCACGTACCACAGCGAGACGGTACGGTTCCGGACCGAGTGTGAATTCTGAGATACCCAGCCGATGAGGATCGGGTGGCCTACAAGGTCATCGAACGGGAGACAGGGACAAGGAGCAGCGTGTCAGTCGACCGACCACCGCACCACACCCCGCCTCTAGGACGGCGCGGGCTTTACTCACAGTAGGGCACGGCAGTGATGCAGGTGATTAGGGCGTAGCGCACCCAGGCCAGGTGCATGGAAACCTTCTCGGGCAGGCAGTACAGGGCCACGAGGAAGGGGAGCGTCCAGAAGTTGGCAATCGACGAGACGAGGCCGCGCTCGTTTGTGCGCACCGAGAGCCAGGTGAGGAGGACGCTGTTGATCGAAAAGAGAACCTGGCCGGGGATGGCCAGCAGATTGCTGTGGGACGGACGGCGAGCAGGGTGGCCGGGGGCCGTGGAGCAGCGGTATCAGTTCCGTCGTCGAGGTGCGGGGCACGACGTGCAGTGAGCAGCGGTCGGACTCACGATCGGAGGGTGTTGTAGCCCATCTGCTTGAGCAGCAGCGAAATGATGAGCGTGGGTGGCTGCCAGGGGATAAAGACGACCACTGAAATATATCGGGAGAGCAGGGCAAGGGGGCAGCGGAAACATCAGAGAAGGTCCACCGCGACGACACGATCCTTAGGCCGGCCGACGCGCAAAGGACTCACATCCCATCAGGTAGATTGGCCAGAGGTCCTTCTCGCAAAGCGCCCTCCAGAGCTCCCTGGGCGAGACGCCCTGGCGGTTGTTCATGTCGCCCTTGCTGGGGTCGTCGCGCAGGATCTTGTTGACGATGATCTTCTCCTCGCGCTCGGAGAACCAACCTCGCTTGCTGAAGAACCTGCCCTTGGTTGCCGTGGGGCTGTTGGGCATCAGGAAGAAGGCCATCAGCCCGATGACGCCGGCGATGAGGCCCTCGAAGGCGAAGAGGTAACGCCAGCCCGCCAGTCCGTTGAGGCCTCGCAGTTCCAGGAAGCCTGCTGCGAGCAGCGAACCGAGGACCTGCGAGATGCCGATGACGGTGTAGAACCATCCAACCCTCGTGCTGAGCTCCTTGGATGTATAGAAGTAGGAGAGGTAGAGGAGCTGCAGGCGGCAGAGCGGAGGCGACGATGCGGAATCGGAGCGGTGGTGAGCACTGAATTCGAGCGGGGCGCCATCGTGGTGCTCTTGCGTCCAGCACTCACCTGGTCCGGGAGGAAGCCGCCCATGGTGAGGCCGAGCAGCGCTCGCGTGACCAAGAAGCCGGCTTTGCCCGTGATGGCGGCCTGCGCCGCCCCGATAATGGACCACGAGACGATCTGAGTCGGCACCCAGCGGTCAGCGCCGACCTTCTTGGAGACGAGGCCGGAAGGAAGCTCTGCAAAGAGGAAGCAGAGGAGGAAGACCAGCTGGGGAGGGGCGGCATCGAGAGGGCGGGAGAGTGGAAGTCAGCCTCGCAAGATGTAAGTTCGGCCTGAAAGCTCGATGGGCCCACTCACCAGGCCATTGTTGTAGTCGTTGAGCGACATGCCGAGGTCGGCGAGGAAGTTGTCGGCCAGCGCGCGGCTGATATTCTTGCGTACGAGGTCGAGCGCCAGGAACATGGCCCATGACCAGCAGGTCACGCGCAGATCCACCTGCGGAGCTCAATGAGAGGATGCCGTGCGACGTTGTGGTCAGCGTTGGGACCGCAACACGGCCGTGAGCCAACGGTGGCCTGGAGCGTACCTTTTTCAGCAACTGCCGGTCCTCCTCCGGTGTCCATTCGAAGGACGGGTCGAACCGATGCCTAGTCACGGAAGCAAGAGGACGAAAGATGCAGAGCGGTAAAGCGTCAGTCGTAGAGCCCGAGCCGGAACATGTAGATGATGAGCTCGTAGCCTGGCACGGCACCCACCTGCCCTCGTACGACGACCTCTCGTAGACGCCCTTCCAGTGCGCGGCTATCGCTTCGTCCTGGAAGATGTGGACATCGCTGAGGGTGGCGGATGAGCCGCTGGGCTGGCGGATTCCTTCCAGAGGGTGTGTGCGCTTTTCGCCGGAATCGGACTGGACGGATCGCGGCTGGGGGAAGATCTTGTCCTCCTCGAGCTTCGGGGTCGCGTAGGGAGACGAGGACGAAGCTGTCGGATCGTGGATGTGGTGCGACTCGACGTCGGGCAGCTTGCTGAGCTGCGGAATGTACGACATTGGCGGCGCCGCCTGCTTCGATGGACAGACGTCAGCACGAGGTGGGTTGCGGAGAGGGGTGTCCAGGGATCGTCGAGGGGAAAGGGCAAGTGGCAATACGTCGTGGGACTTGCGTTGGTGGCGTGGTGCGAGGAGGACTGATGGACGTGGTGGGAAGGAAAGATGATCGAAGGAAGAGGAGGAAGCGACTTCTTGTGGTACACTCGTGGCGGCGGGCAAAGAAGAGAGTGTGCTGCCTATGAGGGCTGGCCTCTACTGTCTCTGGTTTCACGGTCCGGCGACTGTGTGGTGGCGAGCGGGGGAGGGAGGGGAAGCGTTCATGCCGCTTGGCAAGAGGAGGAAAAGAGCGTAGCTTACTTTGTGCTGCCACCAGAGCCGGAGAGGGGAGGCGAGGCGAGCAGAGAGAGGCGAGGCGAGGCGCCACACCTGACCTTGTCGAGCTCACAGAAGAGAGGCAGAGCTCTAAGCCACAGCAGGTGAGGTGTTGTTGCGGGTCGCGTCGTCTAGATGGGCTGGTTGCGACTCCGACCGCAATCAACGTCGAGACTGCCCCACTCCCGACAGTCAGAGCCAGAGCTAGAGCCGGAGACAGAGCCGCGCCGTCGAGACTCTTTTCCTTGCCACCTGCGCACCGGTACCGCCCTGCCTTTGGGTCTTTGTTCGTCGTCGTGCAAGCAGACACCGATAGCGGTTTTACCGGTACTCTTGCGGGCGGAGGGCGAGGAGGCGCTGCGAGGCGAGGCGAGGCGGGGAAGACGCAAGATCTGGACCTGGTTCTGACCACGTGTGCAAGCAGCGCACCGACGACGAGAGGCCGTACGATGGAGGCGTTGCGTTCCTGCTCGACGAACAAGCAAGAGGCCAGGCTGGGCCAGGCCAAGCTAGGCTAGGCTAGGTGGCTCGCCGGCGCTTCCCCGCTCGCGCGGCTTCTTGCTTCGTTTGGACGCGGCGACCGTGTTGCAGCAGCCCAACGCCGGAACGCCGGACGAGCGGGCGGGCAAGGCAAGGCAAGGCAGCTGACGTACGTACAGCAGTCCAGGTCCCAGCCTAGCCTGCATGTGGTGCCGCTCGCCAACGGCGTCTACCGGTACCGTGGCTTTCCTACGGATCGCCCTTCCATCGAATCAAACGGCGGCCTGTGGCTCAGGCTAGGCTGTTCGGGCCACAGAGGACGAGGAACAAAGGCAAGCCTGGGACGGGTCTAGACTTCGGGGGGCCAGGCAAAGAAAAGCAAATTTCCTGGCGCGCGCCCCCGGCGTCTCGTCAGACCCTGGCTCGCCGCGCCATCCCTTCCCCTCCTCTGCTCGCCGCCGCCTAGCTCGCCCTCACGCATCAGGCTGCCCGCCCTCGAATAGTGTGCGGATGCCCGCCTCTGGAAGGCGACGGCAATAAGTAGTGCCTCTCAACGGTCGAAAAGGCGACCGGTATAAATACAGGCTCCAGCAAGAGGAGCATCCCCTGCGAGCGGTAGGTAGAGGGGGGCTGGGGGACGAAGTCAAAAGAAGGGACGGAAAGGACAGGATGAAAGATGCTATATAGAGAGAGAGAGAGAGAGAGAGAGAGAGAGAGAGAGAGAGAGAGAGAGAGAGGAGAGAGAGAGAGACGAGACGAGAGAGGAGAGAGAGAGAGAGAGAGAG